AGTGAAGTAATTAGTGAGGGTTTGGGGTGAGAGGTAGAGAGGTGGGAGGAGCGAGGAGGGTCATTAGTTGAAAGTGAGAGTTTAGAGAGGGGTGGAGGGAGAGGTGTAGATAGGTAGAAGGAGAAGAGTAGAAGTAGAAGAGTAGATAGTAGAAGACGAAATGCTGCCACCATCCATTCATGATCATTACATACAAGACAAGGAATGGAACTTGCCTGTATCACAAAATTCTCAAAGGATGTTATCATGAGTTCATTATTAGTATGTTCCCTCTGTACCATGTATCAACTCCAAACATGTACTCATTAATATCTTGAATCTAGTAACCACCGAGGCTTTCTCACCTCAACTCAACTCTCTAGGAAACACAGTGAAAGACCATTTAAATAATAAATTCAACAATTATATTTTTCATGATAAGTATCATAACTTAAGCAATCCAATTAAAATGTTAACGATTAATATTCAAAGTGAGTCATCATCCAAGAATCTGAGAACACTACAATTGACTGCCCCTGATCACACAACACTTGTAAAACACGACCAAGTCACCTTAATGTTCACTCACCGAGGACTGAGTCTAAGTTGAATAGAGAGGGGGGGGGGTCTGTAGTTGACAGAGACTCCCGCCCTGCCGGCCGACAGCCTCCCTGCTAGGGCCGTCTCCTCTGCTCTGCTCGTCTGCTGTTCTCTTGATTTAATCCTCCATGCTCGATAGCTCTCCGAGTTTATATTGGGGAACCTAGTAGCTAACTCCGCCCACAAGTAGATAGCCTCCGGCACTCTACCAAGCCACTCCTTAAACGTCGGCATGTTTGAAGGCTACCAGACTACAACTAAGAGATTATCAGAAGCAAGGTGAAATTCGCATGATCTGACCTCAGGTCACTTGGGGTCATTAACGCTTAGAGGTGTGAGATCTCAGGCAGACAACTGGCGCCTCTCAGATCCCTGTCTGTGACTCATGTACTCTATGTATGTATTAAACTAAACCAAACACTTTTACAGTGTTACAACTTTTTTAGTGTCAGAGTGGTTGACAAATGGAATGCATTAGGAAGTGATGTGGTGGAGGCTGACTCCATACACAGTTTTAAGTGTAGATATGATAGAGCCCAATAGGCTCAGGAACCTGTACACCTGTTGATTGACAGTTGAGAGGCGGGACCAAAGAGCCAGAGCTCAACCCCCGCAAGCACAACTAGGTGAGTACACACACACACACACACACACTCACACTCTCCATAGGATAACGACAGCAGCGTACTCTACACTGGCAAAAGTTAGAACATCATTCAGAAACCTAAGGAAGGAGGCATTTAGGGCGCTTTACACTGCCTACATGAGACCAGTCTTAGAGTATGCCGCGCCATCATGGAGTCCCCATCTGAAGAAACACACACAAGGAAACTGGAAAAGGTTTAGAAGTTTGCGACGAGGCTTGTCCCAGAGTTACGAGGGATGGGATATGAAGAGCACCTGAAGGAACTGAACCTTACGACACTAGAAAAAATAAATGAGAGGAAGGATATGAAAGGAACGTATAAAATACTCAGGGGAATTGACAAAGTGGAAATAGATGAAATGTTCACACGTAATATTAACAGAACGAGGGGACATGGATGGAAGCTGGAAACTCAGATGAGACAAGAGATGTTAGAAAGTATTCTTTTAGCGTGAGAGTAGTGGAAAAAATGGAATGCACTTAAAGAGCAGGTTGTGGAAGCAAATTCTATTTATAATTTTAAAACTAGATATGATATGGAAATGGGACAGGAGTCATTGCTGTAAACAACCGATGCTCGAAAGGCGGGATCCAAGAGTCAATGCTCGATCCTGCAGACACAAATAGGCGAGTACACACAGATCACAACACACACAGATCACAACACACACAGATCACAACACACTTTCTGGCGGATACACGCCACATCGTACACAAGACCAGTCACCAGCCGATGGTAAAACCTACCCAACCTTACCCAATCTAAGCTACTCTAACCCAAACCACTCTAACCTAATCCTGAGTTGATAAACCATAACACATCCTAACCTAACGATAAATATTGTTTTTTGAATAATAACGAAAAAAAACGAACGTTGTCGAACAGTTTCGTATAGGATTTACCCTTTATCCTTCCCCGACACGTCGTTGTGATCGCGGGGAAACGTGGGTCGTCGTCCCAGATTGGTAACAACCTGATGCAGTTATAACCAACGTGGTTGTGATCCTGGTCGGGGCTACCTCCAGGAGCCGGTCGGCCGAGCGGACAGCACGCGGGACTTGTGATCCTGTGGTCCTGGGTTCGATCCCAGGCGCCGGCGAGAAACAATGGGCAGAGTTTCTTTCACCCTATGCCCCTGTTACCTAGCAGTAAAATAGGTACCTGGGTGTTAGTCAGCTGTCACGGGCTGCTTCCTGGGGGTGGAGGCCTGGTCGACGACCGGGCCGCGGGGACACTAAAAGCCCCGAAATCATCTCAAGATAACCTCAAGATAACGCCGTGGCCATAGTGCCACATCGGCCACGCTCCCGTCCCCAGGGGAAGGGGGCTCCTAGCGTCCCCAGGGGGGGCTCCTAGCGTCCCCAGGGGGGGCTCCTAGCGTCCCCAGGGGGGGCTCCTAGCGTCCCCAGGGGGGGCTCCTAGCTTCCCCAGGGGGGCTTCTCGCGTCCCCCAGGGGGGGCTCCTCGCGTCCCCAAGGGGGGGGGGGCCTCCTCACGTCCCCAAGGGGGGGGCCTCCTCACGTCCCCAAGGGGGGGGGGGCCCTCCTCACGTCCCCAGGGGGGGGCTCCATTGACCCTTCCCTTCCAGCTGTCACCAGCTTCTCGTCCCTACGCCCCTGGAGCCATACTGCGCGTCCTCGTGACCCCCAACTAATTCATTTGTGACCGTAAGTTCGTATTTACAATTCAAGTCTGCTAGTGAGTCTCACGCAGTTTACAGATATTGTAAAAGTTGCTAGTTTCCTCAAACGTCATGCAATAGCTTGCTATAGCAATACAAAATAAATAAATATATATATATATATATATATATATATATATATATATATATATATATATATATATATATATATATATATTTATATTTATATAAGGCACAACTCTCCTAAACACGAGAGTTAAGTATACAACTTTAGAACACTTTCCCACCAGGAGACTCGAATATATATATATATATGTCGTACCTAGTAGCCAGAACTCACTTCTCAGCCTATTATGCAAGGCCCGATTTGCCTAATAAGCCAAGTTTTCATGAATTAATTGTTTTTCGACTACCTAACCTACCTAACCTAACCTAACCTACCTTTTTGGGCTACCTAACCAAACCTAACCTATAAAGATAGGTTAGGTTAGGTTAGGTAGGGTTGGTTAGGTTCGGTCATATATCTATGTTAATTTTAACTCCAATAAAAAAAATTGACCTCATACATAATGAAATGGGTAGCTTTATCATTTAATAAGAAAAAAATTAGAAAAAATATATTAATTCAGGAAAACTTGGCTTATTAGGCAAATCGGGCCTTGCATAGTAGGCCAAAAAGTGAGTTCTGGCTACTAGGTACGACATATATATATATATATATATATATATATATATATATATATATATATATATATATATATATATATATATATATATATATATATATATATATATATATATATATATACAGGAAAATATTTGTCAAATATTAGGGGGACTCCCGGTTTGCCTCCTGCCTTCTCATTCGGGGGGCAGTGGCGGGCGTCGTTCCCCACTCCGCTCCAAAATATTTTATATATATATATATATATATATATATATATATATATATATATATATATATATATATATATATATATATGTATATATATATATATATATATATATATATATATATATATATATATATATATATATATATATATAATATATATATATATATATATATATATATATATATATATATATATATATATATATATATATATATATATATATATATATATATATATATATATATATATATATATATATATATATATATATATATATATATATATATATATATATATATATATATATATATATATATATATATATATATATATATATATATATATATATATATATATAATATATATATATATATATATAATATATATATATATATATATATATATATATATATATATATATATATTATATATATATATTATACGCTTACTATAGCAAGCGACAGTCGTTATAATGTGTACAGGCGCTTGGTCTATTTCTTGTTTAGATCAACAGCGGTGACTAATCACCACCTGGCAAACTGGGAATGCTGAGGACAGCGACAACACTGGGGGACAACGGGATATGATCACAACATACAAAATACTGAGAGGAATACATAAGGTGGACGAGTACTCGTACCATGTATGGGTAGCTAACCAGTGGAATGTTCTGAAAAAAGAAGTTGTGGAAGCCACCTCTACCCACAACTTTAATGTCCGATTCGACAAAACATTTCAAAGTCAGAATATTTAAGTTGAAATGCAGCAGGTACGAGTACAGTAGGCGGAGGCATAACTATACCTCACTCCCGTCGTAGTCACTGGTAAGTAAGTACAACACTGTGGACAGTGCCCCAGCGACGTGGGGACAGTGCCCCAGCGCCGTGGGGACAGTGCCCCAGCGCCGTGGGGACAGTGCCCCAGCGCCGTGGGGACAGTGCCCCAGCGCCGTGGGGACAGTGCCCCAGCGCCGTGGGGACAGTGCCCGAGCGCCGTGGACAGTGACAACTTATAAAAAGTGGTTACTTAGACGAATGAGAAAAACTACAAACAAAAATTTTGTATTAAACAAAAAATATATATCAATTAAAGACCAGAAAGTTACCGAGGCATAAAACCTTCACTAAACAGTTTTAAAATAACAAACTCAACACACAAGTCGGTATACAAATCCACACTATTAATATTTTGTGTAGTGGTGAACACGTCTGTTTTGAACATGTGCGCGCGTACTTACCTAGTTGCAACCACCAATTGCCGTGTGCTTGTTAGCTCGAGTTCCACCTCTTGGATCTGGCCATTCAACTTGTCAATTGGCCATTAGAGTGGTCTAGTTTTGTCCTGTCTACTTGTGGAAACCAGTCGACAGTGTCTTATCATGCACAATACTTGAAAAAAATGTTCTCTGCCTCACCTTAATGGCTCTTGTTTGCAGTCTATGTCCACCTCAACCAAGCTTGTTGTACTCCAGCTGTTCAGTTGTTGAACAAACTTAGCGTTGCAGCGAGTGGAAGATATAAGATAAGAGGTAAGCACACAAGGGTAGTTATTGACGTCCAGTTCCCCTTATCGTCCACTTCTGCAGCTGGACGTCAAGCACAGCAGCGGCGGCGTGGTTTAAATCACCTAGTCCCTTACGCTACGAGATTTCGTGAATCACTGAATGGATCAGCTGGTGCGTGTTGGTGTGGTGGTGGCGTGTGCTACGCTCGCTCAGTGGCCCCCCTCCTCTTCCCTCGTGCCGAAAAACAATAACAAAGGCCGTTTTTGCTTATTACATCACTACTGAGGCTAACGTGTGTTTATATAGCGTGAGTTTATTGATTTAATCTTGTTTTATTTTCAAAGAATAAGAGGAAATATATATTGTTTCTGCTTGCAACTGTGAAGCTCGCTACAGGGCCTTGTTGTCGCCTCTTCCCATCACCATGACAACGTACAAACGCTTCAGATGGCATCGTACCTGATGTAGGTAACGACGGTGCGTTCCGTGGCACACATGGTGCGTTCCGTGGCACACATGGTGCGTTCCGTGGCACACATGGTGCGTTCCGTGGCACACATGGTGCGTTCCGTGGCACACATGGTGCGTTCCGTGGCACACATGGTGCGTTCCTCCATGTTGAACACGGCACTTACCACGGTATAGGATAGCGCGACGAAGGACATGTACACAACACGGCATCCTACCGACCATCTTCTTGAGGTTATCTTGAGATGATTTCGGGGCTTAGCGTCCACGCGGCCCTGTCCCCGACCAGGCCTCCTTTTCGTTACACACACCCCCTTCCCCAGAAAGCAGCCCGTAGCAGCTGTCTAACCCCCAGGTACCTATTTACTACTAGGTAACAGGGGCATCAGGGTGAAAGAAACATTTTTGCCCATTTGTCTCCGCCTCTACCGGGGATCGAACCCGGAACCTCAGCACTACAAATCCAAAGCGCTGTCCATTCAGCTGTTAGGTGCCCGTTCCATGATGGCATGATACTGATGATCATGGTATGGTACGTACCATGATCTAAGATACGTTACGTACCATGATCTAAGATACGTTACGTACCATGATCTAAGATACGTTACGTACCATGATCTAAGATACGGTACGTACCATAATCTAAGATACGTTACGTACCATGATCTAAGATACGTTACGTACCATGATCATGGTATGGTACGTACCATGATCTAAGATACGGTACGTACCATACGGCCGTGGACCCCGCCAGGACAACAAAGGCGGAATCAGTTTAGCCCGAGTCCCCCAAACCACAGCACCGCTCCCGTGCCAGGTAAGTCCACTACGGGCTCACCATAGCCCGTGCTACTTGGAACTTGTTCCGAGAAGCTGAATCTATAACAACAACCAAACCCCCCCCCCCCAAACCCGCCACTGCCCCGCCACGTCGTACCATCGTTTAGCGCTAATTACTAGGGAGATGTATCTAACGAGCTCTCTCTCCTCTTCTTTTGCGACGGTTCTAATTATGCGGCAATTTTACCCTGTTTTCACGCCTCGCGCGTCCTAATGGCGAAGATTGCGGAGGGGGGGGGGTTGTATAGGATGAGTCTGCGTTGTTGGGGAGAGTGCGTGGGAGTGGTTTAAAGTGGGGGGGAGGGTGCGTGGGAGGACGGAGATAAGATAGGGGGGTTGTGTGGGTACCGTCCATGGGATGGTGTGAGAGGGGGTGGGATGGTGTGGGAGGGGGAAGGGGTGAGACTGCGTGAGATGGGAAACATGTGGGATATGGAAGGGAAAAGTGTGTGAACGGGTTTGTTTGGGAGGAAGAGAGGGAAGAGTGGAGGGGAGTGAGAATTACTCTCATTTAATATTAAGAAAATTAAATATTAAGAAGCCTTGTAACAACTGTTTGGGTCTTTCAGAAAATTTATTAATATGAAGCACTAAAAACTCTAAAGGAACACACCAAACATTTCACAGTTGACCCCATAAAAATCTCTGTGTTTTGCTATAAACGCTAATATTTCTGAAATCAATTATCTTAGGCCTACCCCGACCAGCCTATGTCCGTCCCGTACCCAAGACCATGCCCCCTGCAAAGTTGGATGAGGCTAGCCCCAAGTTTCTAGCCTGCAGTCTTGAACAGAGATATAGATAGATATACCTCTTTGAAGATAGAGATAGCGAATTACATAATGAATGAACGAGAAACATATTGTAATGTTCAATTAATATTTATAACATTCTTTCACCATACTGCTAAATATCAACCTCAATGAATGTTTGGGTTAATATTATATATATATATATATATATATATATATATATATATATATATATATATATATATATATATATATATATAATTATATGCTTACCTAGAGGTGCCTATACATGGGTCGAACCTCGGCTCCCGGACCTTATTTAATGCAATAGATCATTGTCCACGTTTTTCTCATCATATTTACAATTAAAACTGTGTACCGAGTAGGCTGCACCTAATTAAAGCTTTATCTAACCCATGAAAGTTATGGATGGATCCAACACTAAAGTTATTTCTGATAACTGACTCATTTATGTCTCCAGTTTCCTAACTCTGAACAACGGTTTCTTTGTTTATTTTGGGCAAATTTGATTAGATTTACTGTGAAGTACTATATTAGAAGTACTATGAATATAAAGAGAGCTACGAATATGCTGTCATAAATGAAATTAATCCTGTTTCAGAAGGCTGTAATAATCAATGGCAAAAATTTTGTCTAAAGTGTGATATTTGTCACACAGTTGTCCATTTGATAAGAAAATTCCTATGGAGATTGACAAAACTATTTGAGATATGTATGGTATGGTAGATACCACCTAATTAAACAGACTACATTTGAAACTGTGTATGGAGTCAGCCTCCACCACATCACTGCCTAATGCATTCCACCTGTTAACTACTCTGACACTGAAGAAATTCTTGCTAATGTCCCTATGGCTCATTTGGGTACTCAGTTTCCACCTGTGTCCCCTTGTTCGCGTACCACCAGTGTTGAATAGTTTATCCTTGTCTACCCTGTCAATACCCCTGAGGATTTTGTAGGTAGTGATCATGTCTCCCCTTACTCTTCTGTCTTCCAGTGTCGTAAGGTGCCTCTTAGCTCCGGAACTAGTCTAGTGGCATACCTCTGAACTTTTTCCAGCTTCGTCTTGTGCTTGATAAGGTACGGGCTCCATGCTGGGGCTGCATACTCCAGGATTGGTCTTACATATGTGGTATACAAGATTCTGAATGATTCCTTACACAGGTTCCTGAATGCTGTTCTGATGTTAGCCAGCCTCGCATATGCCGCAGACGTAATTCTTTTTATGTGGGCTTCAGGAGACAGGTTTGGTGTGATATCAACCCCTAGATCGTTCTCTCTGTCCGTTTCCTGAAGTACTTCATCTCCCATTCTGTATCCTGTGTCTGGCCGTCTGTTTCCGCCGCCTAGTTTGCTTTGCATTTACTTGGGTTGAACTCGAACAGTCATTTATTGGACCATTCATTCAATCTGTCCAGGTTATCTTGTAGCCTCCTGCTATCCTCCTCTGTTTCAATCCTCCTCATAATTTTTGCGTCAACAGCAAACATTGAGTCTATTCCCTCTGGGAGATCATTTCCATATATCAGAAACAGTATAGGTCCAAGGACTGACCCCTGCGGGACTCCACTTGTGACGTCTCGCCAATCTGAGACCTCACCCCTCACACTGACTCGTTGTCTTCTGTTGCTTAGGTACTCCCTTATCTAATGGAGTACCTTCCCTTTCACTCCAGCCTGCATCTCCAGCTTTTTCACTAGCCTCTTGTGTGGTACTGTATCAAAGGCTTTCTGACAATCCAAAAATATGCAGTCTGCCCATCCCTCTCTTTCTTGCCTTATTTTTGTTGCCTGGTCGTAGAAATATATTAACCCTGTGAGGCAGGACTTGCCATCCCTGAACCCATGTTGATGCTGTGTTACAAAGTGCCTTCGCTCCAGATGTTCCACTAGCTTTCTTCGCACAATCTTCTCCATCAGCTTGCATGGTATGCAAGTTAGGGACACTAGCCTGTAGTTCAGTGCCTCCTGTCTATCCCCTTTCTTATATATCAGGACTACATTAGCTACTTTCTAAATTTCTGGCAGTTCCCCTGTTGTCAGTGATTTGTTATACACTATGGAGAGTGGTAAGCACAGTGCTTCCGCTCCTTCCTTTAGAACCCAAGGGGAGATTCCATCTGGGCCTATAGCCTTTGTCACATCCAACTCTAGTAAACACTTCCTTACTTCCCCGCTGGTAATCTCAAACTCTTCCAGCGGTTCCTAGTTAACTATTCCCTCTCTTATCTCTGGAATTTCTCCTTGTTTTAAGGTGAAGACCTGGAATTTCTTATTCAGTTCCTCACACACTTCCTTGTCGTTTGTAGTAAATCCTTCTGCCCTATCCTTAATTTCATTACTTGTTCCTTTACTGTTGTTTTTCTCCTGATGTGGCTATGCAGCAATTTAGGCTGAGTCTTTGCCCTGCTTGCGATGTCATTTTCGTATTGTCTTTCTGCCTCTCTTCTCATCCTGACGTATTCATTCCTGGCACTCTGGTATCTTTCTCTGCTCTCAAGTGTCCTATTATTCCTATAGTTTGTGTGTGTGTGTACTCGCCTAGTTGTACTCACCTAGTTGTGTCTGCAGGATCGAGCCATTGACTCTTGGATCCCGCCTTTCGAACATCGGTTGTTTACAATGACTCCTGTTCCATTTCCCTATCATACCTGGTTTTAAAATTATGAATAGTATTTGCTTCCACAACCTGTTCCTGAAGTGCATTCCATTTTCCCACTACTCTCACGCTAAAAGAAAACTTCCTAACATCTCTGTGACTCATCTGAGGTTCAAGCTTCCATCCATGTCCCCTCGTTCTGTTACTATTCCGTGTGAACATTTCGTCTATGTCCACTCTATCAATCCCTCTGAGTATCTTATACGTTCCTATCATGTCCCCCCCTCTCCCTTCTTCTTTCTAGTGTCGTAAGGCACAGTTCCCTCAGGCGCTCCTCATACCCCATCCCTCGTAGCTCTGGGACGAGTCTCGTTGCAAACCTCTGAACCTTTTCCAGTTTCATTATATGCTTCTTCAGATGGGGACTCCATGATGAGGCGGCATACTCTAAGACTGGCCTTGCGTAGGCAGTGTAAAGCGCCCTAAAT